CAATGCCTTGAATTTGGGGATGGGGTGGCATTGCTGTATCAAGTTTACACTAATATCAAATTTGCATTTGAGTGTTTAGAAATGGGGAGTGAAATAGAGAGAGCCACAAATGTAGTTATTAAGCAGATGGGCTGCTGACAGAGGTAAGGATGGATGCCGGTAGTGTGTGCATGTCTTCACTGAGCTGCTGAAACTGTAGGCACCAGCGTTTCTAAATTTTTGTTTCTCTCTAGAGCTACTAAGTGGTCCTAAAGGGTAGCTTCTAGTACTCCCTCATACCAAAGCCTTCAGTGTTTTAAGATTTTTTTTGTTTGTTCTTTAATTCAATTGAGCTATTGGATTTTAAAGTTCGCATTTCCTAAAATGAGATTTTTCCGGGGTTTATTCCATTTCAACAGTGATTTTGGCTCTGTAAAACAGCCGTTCCGCCATGCTCTGGTGCCCTGGAAAGCGTTGGTCTTTCCTCTTTTCTTACCTCCTCGTTCCCTCCACCTTTCCTTCCTTCCTTCCTTTTTCCATCCTTCCTTCCTCTCATTCCTCTCACCTTCCATCCTTCCTTCCTCTCCTTCTTTCCTTCCTTTCTGTCTTTAACCTATTGAGACAAGCATATGAGAACATACCAAGTGGTTGTGCCAGCTCATAATCAATAAGAATCTAAACACTCAGGCAGAAAACACACCACAGATCTGGGCCATGGCGAAGCAGCTATTTTTCCTTTGCTCTCATCATCAGAGGCTGCATTCTGCCAGAAATCATTTGCTTGAAGCAGCCTCCATATATAAGCCCTATGGGGTCTTGTGATTCAGATTTAGGAATATCAGCCACAGAGGGTCTAAAGGCATTGTGCATTAGTATGTATTGAGACCTCGTTCCAGGTGGCAAGCAGCTGGACTTTCGAAAAATAAAACTTCCAAAATAAATGTGAAGTGCTTGTTCCCAGGCGATAAGTGTTATACTTAATGGAATCATCCTCCAAATGTTATAAATGAGGCAAAAAGGGGAGTTGTGCATATTTAATATATTTGTTTTGTATCTCCTCTAGTCAACAGAATAATGACATTCCTTAACTACTTCTCTTTAACTTGCATGAAGAAAGCACGGTATGTTGCTAAATCTCTTTTCAGCAGCTCCGCGGAGAAACAACTTTAATCCTTGTTAGAAAATTGCCGAGTCTGAGGCTGACAAAGAGCTCATGCCTGTTCCATTGTTAGTGCTCCCGGGCCCCAAGAGCAGAGCCCTTTACAGCTGCGTGGATCCCGCCCGGCTCAGCTGCACTATTTAGGAGCAGAGGTTTGTCAATTTCTATTGACAATGGAGAGAGATTTTCAGGGCCTGTAGCAGAGCTGACACAGTTGGGGATCAATGCCAGCCATTCAGACTGCACCCTCTTTCATTGCTTTGGTTTGTTAATTCAAGACTAAAGGTCCACGGAGGGGGTTCAGGGTGTTTAAGAAAGCTGATGAACTGCGAGCGTTTATGGCCCTGGTGTGGCAATTTCCATAGTCAGTGGCAACTCCTGGCACTGAGGGAGCTGTGCCCTTGTTGACCCTCTTGTTATTAAAAATGCACAAGTGCTGCGCTTCTCAATATTTCCACACTCTTTCATTGTCAATACCACCTTCTGAGCCCGTCAGCTTGTTGCTTGCTCTAAAGATCTTCTTAGATTGGGTTTGAAAACTTCACCTTAAACACTAGATTAGACTGATGTTCTGTTTTCCGTGCTCCTGTTGATTTGTTGAACCTTCCCAGGGCTGGAAAGCAAGTAGCAGCTTGATGGGGAGACGGGCTGCTAATATGATTTACCAGTCTACAGTCATGCACAATAAGTGTGAATAAATACAAGGGTCTCACAGAGTCAACCCTAGCCTTTCCTTTCCTTTTCTTTTTGCTTTAAAAGAGATATCTCAAGAAAATGAAGTGAGTGATGCATGCCCTTACACGAGTTGAATGAACCACAAAAGGAAAAAAGGAGTGCTGGGCTGCTATCATGTGTTGCTGTAGAGAGAGAAAAAAATATATATATATATGTGTGTGTGTGTGTGTGTGTGTGTGTGTGTGTATATATATATATATATACATATAATACAGTTGCTGCTTTATTCCAGAGTAGACCAAAGCAAGGAATAAAATACAAACGCCATTTCCTAGGATACAGCCCAGGCTGTGTGCCCTTCTTGTGAGCCCCTGAAGGGAAAGCAAACGGTCACATAAGTTACTTGATAAAATTAACTTTGCCAAAATGGAAAAGACTTTTCCTGGCATCCTGACTCCACTGCATATTCACCCTTGCAAGTGTCCAACCTCCCCCACCCCTTGTTTCATGCAAAGCCTTGCTTTGGTTTGACTTGGGGCAAATGAAGCTTACCCCATTTTGACTCGTCTTGCGATGAAAAAAAGGGGGACCTACTGTATTCTCACCCCTTAGAAAAGATGTACTAACTCCAGTATCAGAAATATCAAACTGCAGGAAGTTTCTGTTCGGTGGCTTTGTTGGAGTGGGATGAGGGGTTCAGTTTCATCACAGGCAGGAAAGTGGAGAGGAGTGGTGTTGCCGTTAGCCTGCTCTTAGTGGAGGCTAGGCTGAGTCCTGAACGCTAAGCCACTGCTTCCCCTAACCATTTCTTCATCTTAGTCACAATTATTCTCCAGACTGCCTTGACTTAAATCAAAAGCGCATGTTCTGAACTGATAGGCTAATGTTTCTTGGATGCTTTTCCTCTTAGATCAAGATATTTTCCTTCCAAGGGAGATGATGAGAAAGTAGCTGAAACACTTCCCTTAACTGTTGCCTGTCTCTCCTTATTTCTGTAGTTTCATTTACATTATTTTATTCTCAATTTCATTTTCTCTCATAACTTGGGTATTATGTTAGAAATGTTAGATTAATAAAGTCTGTGTTCTATTAAATATCCTTTTCATTCTAGCATTAGAATAAGCATTATTTACACAAGATGGGAAATTCAGTTAAAGTCATTTGAAATGAGGATTTAAAAAAAATAAAGGTATATGTTGAGTGGTTTTTAAGAGAATACTTCCCTCAGATTTGTACAACTTACCATGGACTTGTAACTACCACCTTGCCTTGTACAAGCCTTTATACAGCGTATCATATTTTCTCTCCTCCAACAGGAAAGAGAAATTTTCTATCCCATACAAAGAAACTAGAATGTTTAAAAGTCTAATCCATTTTGACAGCATTTTAGGTTCCAAATTATCTGTTCAACGTGGTATAGGACTAAAAACCTTAGCATTGTATGCTAATACAATATTGCTTATCATACCCAAGTGTTCAGCTACATTAAAATAGAAGCACCTAAGGCTAAGTAATTTGAAATAAGTGAATGTAAAATTAATATCAGAAATAAAAGATAGTGTGAACCCACAGAAGATTTTTGAGATTTCATATATCAGTTGAAGTGCTCCATCTACTAGCAATGGGTCTTATAAGAATTTATGAGTGTAGGCATCTGAATTTTATAAAACTTTTTAAGTATATTTTTACATAAATGGTAAAGCATTCATTAGGAAAGAACAGTATCTATTTAAATCTCAGTCTACTCTGAAATGTAAAGCTTGGAATTCAGTAATCTGGTCATGTTTAGTAAATCGGTTCATTTTAATTTGCTTATCACATTTTATGCATGTGTCTTCAATAGAGTAACAAGTTAATAGAAATAAATGAAGTGTGTGACTAACTCTTTTTTTACTTGTATTTAAACTATGATGTCATGCTCTATTAAATTGACTCACCATTGAATTGTCAATAAATCCAAGTCTAGATGAATTATAGACTTGCAGAACTTATAATTTCTTAGAAGTTAAATTTTATTGTGTTATTTTATGGAGAAAAAGTATTTTAATATTTTTTAAAAATTTGTATTTGGATACCTAAAAATGGTTACATATGTGGTGTGTCACTATGTTTTATATAAAAGCAGCACACAGAAATCTCTTTCAAAACACTTCTTTCATTTTTTAAATACCATATTGATGTAGATATTTCTGTTACCTCAAAGAGTGTCAGCATTCTTACACCATTACCAACACCTGACTCTATCATATAATCATCAAACCCCTTAAAATGTCACAATTAATATCAGATGCCTCTTTAGAAAATAGGAGATCAAAAAATTCTTTTATATGATTTTTTGTGATCATTGTACATGTATTGTACAACAGCAGGAAAATGCCTCCAAAGAATTTTAGGATTTTTTCTGTCAATAGGGTTGTAATAAATGAAGAAATTATGAAGCCTCCAAAAATACTTAAAAAGCAACATAGGTCTTTTCCTTTCATAATCTGGGTACCAGCATATGCTTTGTGATTCTTATAGCATACAAGAATTACATCTTGACAAGGCTCCTTCCTGTGATCCGAGTAAATCTTGATTTAAGGACCATTTAAAAACATCTTGGCAATTGCTTCATAACTGATTTACACAAAAGCATGATCAGGGATCTCCGTTTAGTAAGTTGTGAATACTTTTCGCCGTCCTTCAAAAGGTTATTTCTAGGCATTGACATCATGGCTTATGTTCTAACACTTCTACTGAGTTTTTTCATAGCATGAAGACCAATAGGAAATTTTTCTTTGAAAATTATTTACCTGGTGTGTGGATGGGTGTGTGTGTATTTTTTCCCCTGCAGCTTGGCCATCCATTCAGTCTCATAATATGTATTTAGTGCCCATTGTTACTTACAAATTGCAAAGCAGTCCACTAGGCTGCAAAGTGCAAAAACACGGTTTCCCATGAATATGTTACAGCTAAACACTGTAATGCTAATTCATGTAAAGAACAGCCTGGGTCAGCTCAGCAGACTTGCCACCATAACATACAATTCTGTTAACAGGAAATTATAGCATTATTGACTTCAAGTGCTGATCTGTGGTCATTTCGGAGTGCTTCATTACCCTCTCATTACTGAATCTGTTAAATGAATACTACAGAGATTGTTTTCTTTTTCTGTTCCCCTTCCCTCCACCCCTGTCCTTCCTTCCAGCAATGGTACAGCAATTCCATGAAAGTCATTTGTGTGTGGCTGGCTGACAGACTAGACCTCCAGCTTCATATTTATCAACTGAAGACGCTCATCAAGATTGTGAAGGTAAATGAAAAGTGTTGAAATGTGAATTGCCCGCCAAGCTGTAGAATAGTGGTAAAATACCATCCCACCAGAGAGGAGGAAACAAAAAAGAAAAAGTTGCTGTGACTGAGTGGTGGATGTAAGTACTTACAGTGTAAGACAATGTACATAAATCCCCCCAGCACGTGAACGTGAATGGGGTAGGTACACAATGATTTTACATTCATTGGCATAAAAATAAAGTACATTCCTCATGTTTATTGGGGTCATGTATTAATCATGAAGACTTTTGAGTTGTACGTTTCAATGAAACAAGAAGAGCGTTTGATTTCATCATGCCCTCTTAGGACATTACACACCGTCACTGCCTGGGTTCCTTTGGAAGGTACCTCCCTTGATTTGTAAAAGATGGCCTTTTTGAGTGTTAGAGATTATCCAAAACTATTAACACACATTTTACACGCATTCATCAGGGCACTTTGTCTTTTGCCTATAGGTACCATCCTATGTTTGTCTGTAATGCGTGAGAGCTTTAAAAATAAAATGTCTCTTCAACATAATTTTTCATTTTGTCAATTTTGGTGGAAGCAATTAAAAAAAAGAGTTTGGCTTTTCTTAAAATTGAAGCAACATATTGATATTATAGCTGAAACCAAACTGAGAGTCAAGGGTTTCATACAGAAGACCTATACTTCCATGTTGGTGCTGTTTACTGGTGGCGCCTATGTATATGTGCACATGCTCCATATGTATGTAATATGTCACGTATGTATGATAACATACACACAGTGCTTCTCAGTGTGTCATTTTGACCTAAAGCTATTAACCCCCTGGGGGTTTGTCAGAACTACAGGTCTTTTGGTAACAGCCTAGCCCTGTGGAATCAGGAACTGATGATAAGACCACAGATTAGCAAGTCTCCAGAAGAAGCTAATTGCATGCTGAAGTTTGCAAAGTAACCCTAAGTTACACCTTTAAAAGAAATTTCCATTCACATTTTTTTTTGTTTTTTTCCAGACAGGTTTTCTCTGTGGATTTGGAGGCTGTCCTGAAACTCCCTTGGTAGTCCAGGCTGGTCTCGAATTTACAGAGATCCGCCTGCCTCTGCCTCCCGAGTGCTGGGATTAAAGGCGTGCACCACCAACGCCCGGCTCCATTCACATTTAAAAAATTTTTTTTACCATCATTCTCTTGGTTCCTACAGTCTAATTCAAATACAAATTATTTTATGCTACAGACACACAGTTACCACAAGTCAGAACCACAGTGACTTCTATCCCCAAGTCAGTTCTGGGCAGTTTGTCTCAAAGATGCAAAGTGAACTATGCTGTAACAATAGTAATGATGATGAGTGACCAGTTACAAGTAAAACTATTGCCAACCCGTGACAAAGCCAGCAGTGGTGACACACGCCTTTAATCCCAGCAGAGATAGGTGTATCTGTGAGTTCGAGGCCAGCCTGGTCTACAGAGCAAGTTTCAGGACAGCCAGAGCTGTTACACAGAGAAACCCTGTCTTGAAAAAACAGAAGACAACTTAAAAAAAAAACACAAACAAACAAACCTCAGTTCCTCTTAGCAGGTACTACTTACTTTAAGAGCAGAGTACTCATTGTAACACATACAGATGTCGGTTACTTTACTTCACTATTATTTCTTCCTTGTTTTTATGAATGTAACTTGGACAGCCTCATAAAAGACCATCAGAATACCGTGTTTACCTTAAGTATGCATGTATCTGTTGATGTCACAGTCTATGCTGTTATTTAAATGGGGTCAGCTGGCTGTCTTCATTTACCTACAGCCATTCTTCAAGCTTCTGTCATATTAGGTTTGGGATATATCATTGCCTACCATCCATTGATGGATAGCTAACCTCTCTGTTCTGTTTGGGTAATTAAAATGTTCATGTTTTTTTTTTACTTGTGCATCATTTGTTTCCTCAAAGTTATCTCTTTTCTTATATCAATGCATCTTAATGGATAAAGAGAATATACCATTTCTTTCAGTGTATTGAAACACACTTGACAAAAACTGTCTGTAATCAAAGTCTACAACATAAGGATAGTTAATAGCATATGCATAAAACATACTGAGAGAATGAATCTGCCAGTCTTACCACTGAGTATTTTAACATGAAAGAACAGTTAACAACTTTATAAGTATTACAGCAGCCTCTTTCTTCATTGTGCTCTGAACCAATGCTATTTTAAAATAACCTCCATTTATGGCTAAAAATAATGAAAAATGATAAGTGAAATTAAGTTCTGTAAATGCTCGACAGTATTTTATTTTTACTTTTCTCTGTGCTGGAGGTTGAATCTAGGACCTCGTTTGTGTTAGGTAAGCACTCTACAACTGAGCTAAAACCCCACTTCATGTCATGCATTTCTAATTTTGAAATACTGTCTCGCTAAGGTGCCCAGGGAGACCTCAGACTCTCTGTCACCCAAGCCTGTCTTGAGCACCTAGGGATCATCCTGTCTCAGCGTCCCCCAGGGATGACAGATCTATGCCACCAGCCCCAGCTCATAGTTAGCTCTCCACAAACTCAAAGCTTTCCTGACTTATACAGTTGACCAGGTCAGAAGGCTCTGTTTAATAATTACAATTATTATTTTCACAGTGAAGAGCAAGGTGAGGTAATTATTTAGCATCCTAACCATTTCCCTACTTTGAATGTAAATGAACCTAAACCAGTTTTATACGTGGATTCATCAGTCCCTTGGAAATGATTGTGTTTGGAATAGTGATTTTGCTTAGAAAGCTAAAAAGGGCTAACCAACACACATGTAGAATTGTGAAGGCTGCTAAATAGCCCTTCTCTCTAGATGATTTGGGTTTGGCCTGCCTGTTCCAGCAGATCCCTGTGTTTTAACCAGGACTAAGTCAACTTGACTAGACTTAGTTCTCCTTCCCCTCCTCACTACTCACAGGCATTTCCAGTGTTGTAGGCCCAGGAAGATCTAAAAATGATAGGTATGAGAGTCAACTGTGTCCTCTTAGACAATTTGTTCATTTGTTAAAAAAAAAATCCCAGTAAGACTGGCGTTAAATCACTAAATTCTAAAATCATGTGTGAAGGTTTAACATCAGAAGGATTTCTTTGAGAAGGGGAAAAGCAAAATCCCCAAATAGTCGAAATGGCTGTTGATTTATGTTCTCCCCAGTGGCCATAAAACGCTGTAAAGCAGTTCATATAAATCAGCTGCTTGTTTTGCTAGGAGAAAGGAAGCGGGCAGCACCCTGTGGCAGACCCTTGTCTTAAGGAAGAGCCAACCACGCCAGTGTGGAAGCCTAAGAATTGCTAAGGTGTTGGCAACTTTTTATGAGTTAAGAGTTTGCAAGGATTTGCACTGCACCTCACCTCCTGGCTGTTACTCTTTAACAAAATAAAAAAAAATGGTGGGTCTTTACCGTATTGAAATTAGAAAGCCTTTAGGACTTCAAATCTATAATATAAGTCTGTCAGGGCTAACTTACTAATAAAGATACTAAGTCTAAGTGAATCAATAAAACCAGAAAATAGAGTGTGTCATTATTCATCTGTTAGTGGATAGTTTAATGTATGCTTAATGCAATTTTAATCTAAGTAAAACAACAGCAATAGGCTTTAACATAAATGTTTGTGATAATGATACCATATGAATTAATTACCACATTTTCTAGGCAAAATTCATACCTCAGAATTATTTCTCTGGTTTTAAGTATGAATTACGGGAGTTTTGGTATCATAAAGTCATACCACCATAGTGGTATTTATGAGTCAGAGGTCTGTTTATGACTGCATCATAGCAAGTTTATTTATTAGAGATGATGAAAATGGTAGACTGTACGTGCCTTCAAAGAAGCTATTGAAATAAGTTTCAATAATTTCAACCTAAAGGTGGGAATAGATTTGATCATGTAAGAAAAAATACTCTTGGAATCTGAATCATACTTGCTGTGGAGACACTGACCCCTGATGCCACCCCGCAGTCCTCAAACGTCAACTTAATTTTAAGCGTTGGTGTGGGTTTTTTTTAAACATTCATTTATTTCTATCAAGTTATGAACAGATCAGAAAGATTACATTACTCTCCACCCTTATCATTTACATATCACTTCTAAAACTAGATGAGACCACGGGCACACTGACAGGAGGGTAAACTGAGGCAGCTCCAGACCTTCCACTACCTTGCAGTATTCCTATTTTTCCCAGAAAGCCGTGGGAAGTGACCAGATGTGCTGAATGGGAAGATAAATACACTCTCTTCCTGACCCATGTGATAAGTGTCCTCCATGCAAATGCTTGGGTGCTCTGGGCCTTTCTGCTTGTATAAGAGTTTTTTGACGGTGTTATGCTGTATTCAATAAAACCACACTACTCTTCAATGTGTTTTCCATCTACTAGGGTTATGATATTGGGCAATGAGATACAATATCCCTCCTGATTTGACTTTCTTTTGTTTATTAAGCATTAAAAAAAAACTGGCTGTCAATAATCACTTAAAACAATGCCATACTGACATCACCTGACACTTGGGCAATCCACTGAAGTCTCTGCTTCTGGTTCTAACAAGTAGCAGAGTCATGAAAGATACTTATCACTAAAAATATGTTTTAAGCTGGGCGGTGGTGGCACACGCCTTTAATCCCAGCACTCGGGAGGCAGAGGCAGGCAGTTCTCTGTGAGTTCAAGGCCGGGCTGGACGGACAGCCTCCAAAACAATACAGAGAAACCCTGTCTCGTAAAACCAAAAAAAAAAAAAAAATGTTTAAAAATTCCTCCATAGAATGGGGTATCTTCATGCGTTCTTGGTTTCTCCATTTAAATAACTAGACTTCTTTCTCTCACTTTCAAAATCAATACTACTGCGACTGTTATTAATATAACAGTCTTGTTTAGACTTGGGAAATGTAAAAATAGTCATACTTTAAACGTGAGGGAAGCTTTATGGGTTAAACATTTTAAATCTTGTGGGATGAGATGGTTCAGTGTGTAAAAAGTACTTGCTCTCAACCCTGACAACCTGAGTTGATCCCTAAGATCCATATAGGAAAAGGAAAACCAAGTCCAACTAGTTTTCCTCTGCTATCCACAGACATACACATGAAACAAATAAATGTAGTTTTAATTCTTAAAAAAAAAGCATAGGAAGAAATGATAGCATTGAATTCTATTTTGTATGCAGTCTGTAAATCGCTGTTCTAACATATAATATAATGGCTTATCATTTTGCAAAATATTGTATAAATGCCCATTTTCATTTTCTTAACTATGAAAACTTTTTCCCAGAGTCATGATACTTCTGTTCCAAGAACATTTCAAATAAAAAGATAAAACTCTTATAGGCATTTACATATATATAATATTTGTAATACACATATATATAATTTTCCAGTAGCATAACACAAGTAAATACATTCTCTAATTCATAAGTGCATAACATGTGAACTTCTTGTACTTATAATATGATTAATTTTATCCACCAACACCTGCTCCCCAAAACTAGTGTATTTTATAAAATTAAGTATATTTTTCAGTATTAAAGGAAAGGCTCCCTATTGAAAACCTAAGAAGTCCTTCCTATTAAAACTGACCATAAACATATCATGTTACCTTTGTTACAGACTATTCAGTACTAACTCTGTGCAATTAGTAATGTTTGGAGAAGGGGCATTAATTTGTCATCTGGTAGTCACAACATTTTGATCTATCCATAAGGACTGTAGCTTGAGTAGCACGATCCACAGTCACTCATTCTGTTTTCTCTCCAGAAATGCACTAGCAGGATGATTGACATGGGCAGCCACAGTTGGAGCCCATTAGTGGATTTTCCACATATTTCTAAAAAGCCATTCAAGTACACAGACATATGTCTGCATATACAGGCATGTAAGTATGTGCACACATCTAACTAATCAAAGCAAATACTCTTGTTCATCTCCTAGAAAACCTATAGGGACTTCCGGTTGCAAGGTGTGTTGGAAGGGACGCTGAACAGTAAGACGTACGACACTCTGCACAGACGTCTAACCGTGGAGGAGGCCACAGCCTCTGTTTCAGAAGGAGGAGGACTTCAGGGCATTACCATGAAGGACAGTGACGAGGAAGAAGGCTGATAACGCACAGTTCCACAAAAAGACTGAAGGCCTCGGCATTGTTTTGTGCACCCTGTCCTTGTAATTGTACTTACTGACCAAATAAAAACTGCTCACACTTCTTCAGAAAGTGAACTTGGAGATAAAGAGAGAAATGCCAAGTATTTTTTGAAAGAAAAACCATATTCATATGTATGGCTTGACCTAGCATTGGCCCTGCTTGTGACTGGGACATGAACTTCTTTTGTCCATTAATTTTGCTTTCTTTCTTTGTTGTTGCTGTTAGTATATTTGACTTTTCTTTTTAATAGTCATATCAAAATTGTGCCCCATGTGTCACTTGAGATATGTGTCTCCTGTGAAGCAGCATTGTGAAAAGCCATCTCTGGCCACAGCATCAACTCTATTGTACCTCTGTCAAAATGGTGTACCTCCCGGCTATAATTTATGTACAATGTTAGCTCTGTAGTTAATTTGCCAGTGTTGTGATGTGTATAAAGCTTTAGCCTTGTTTTTCATGACTCTGAATTTGTCTGCAGGTGTAATCTTGGACTTCAAAGAGTTCCATGCCCAGATATAGAGTAGACTGTCCCCAGGCTTCCGTCCTGTTCCTTCCCGAACATTCTTTTCATGTGTGTGACATGGCTAGGTGTTCTTCCATCCACATCCTGTGCCCTGCTTCTGAGTGTAAAAGCTTGCAGGCAATAAAAATCCATCCCGTCATGGCAACTTCTGTGTTCATTAAACTTAAATAGATTAAAGACAGGAAAAAAAATGTTTGCAGGATCTCAAACATCCAGCTATCCAGCTCTGTGTTTCTGCTTTAGTCTGTGAGGTTATGTTTTCAATCAAATAAGGAAAAGTTATGGACATTGTGCTCTGTACCTGGTAGGCCTACAATCTGATAAAAGCATTATTTCCAGAACACACTTTCACAGCAAAGAAAATGTTAAGTACCTAGTCAAATACTGTATATTAATAGTAATAGCAGTCAATAGCTAGTAATATTAGTAATCATACTAATGGTAATTAACAATTGGCATGACTGGTAGTAATTCTCCCAGTGTTTTCTTAATATGATTTTAAAGGATATAGTGTTAATGATTTGTAATTTCCATGTATTTTGGTTTTTTTGAGATATATATATGTATACACACACACACACACACACACACACACACACACACACACACACGCAATTGCACTCATTCTCAGGTAAAGTTTTGTTTGACTTGCGATTTTGATGTGTTGCCCCAGACTGGTCTTGAAGTCTAAGGCTTCCATAAACCCCCCACCTCAGCCTCCTGAGTAGCTGTAGGCATACACCAGCCACACCTATCTATACTGACAATTTATTCACTGTCGAAATGAAAGTACTACCGAGTTTGTGAAGAGTTATGTGATAAAATACCAGAAATGCCTCTAACTTTCGAACTTGTTTCTCCTGTCATGTCACGGAAATGATGATTAGGGTGATCAGACTGGTCCACAAAAATTGGCTTTATCCACAATTTATTACGTAGCAACGTTTGTGCCTGATGTTCAGGTCCTAAAAGTAAGATGACATGATAAGCATGAGAGAAGACAGTTTTTCCCCTTTTCCTTGATCAAAGAGTAGGTAAGGATGTGTTTACTTTTCCTTCTTTTTCTCCACCTTCAGTGCCCTTTGCTGTAAGACCGTAAGTATCCTGTCATGTGACCCTGAACTCCCCAATGGCACCTTCTCAACACAAAATTGCTCTCTCCCTGGAAACTAGTGTGTGTATGCACATGTGCATGCTAGACATGGGGAATTGAACCCTTGGCCTTATGCATCCTATGGAATACTACACTGCTGACCTACTCCAGAAGCCCCCTCTTCCAATGAAATCTCCATGTTCCTGATAGTGTTGGTGTCAGTGTGATTGACTCAGATTGTTCTAAAATGCCCTGATTAGCCCTTGTCCTCTTAACTCTACCGGAAGTCTTTAAAGCAGTAGCTGTTACTTCAAAGGAAAGGACTCCCAAGCAAGGCGGAAGACAAGAGATGCAGGGACAGCATCAGGGCAGACATTGCCGGTTGTACCCTTGCCTATGGCACCTCAGCCATGGGTTTTCTGCGGAGGGTGATGCTTTCTGCTCCTTTCTCAATGCTTCGTTCCCTCCTTCCTACCCATTTCACCCACATTTAGGACAACAGCAAACCAAGTTACAGACCTGCTCGTGTTTTCACACGGTTCACTCTCACTGACCTTTGAGCCACAAAACAACGGTGCAAAACCCTTAAGGAAGTAATGTAAAAGGAGAGAAGAAAGAGTGCTTCAGTAACTTTTGCCCAGAAATTCTTTCTAACCTAATGAAAATTTTCTTGAAAGGGCTTAGATCTTCACTGATTCGGGAAGTCTTTGTGTTGGACACCCAAGCATCTATTAAAGCCAGATCAGTTTCAGACAGTGTTATAGTTTGGGAAGTACTTTTAGGAGGAAAAACGAAGAGTTTGAAAACCTAACGAGTCTGAGTCTTGCAAGTCTTTTGAAGTGGGATCACTCCTCGTGAATGTACTTGGGGAAGAGCAGGATGCTGCACCGGGCAGCTGGGTGTGTTGTAAGTGAGGTCAACCGGAGAGAGGTTATGAATCCTTCCGCAAAGAACGGTCGTTCAAACATTTATTGGAGAAAGATCGTAACGACGTCCTTTTCCCGACAAGAAACAGTGCCACACCGCCTAGAGTAAACCTCTGTGCGCCACCGGCTGTGGGTAGTCCCTACATTCACGTATTTTTCCACTTGAATTCCCTTTAGCTGGTGCTCATTGTCCCTGGATCAGGAGAAGAGATTTCCTGCTAGTTTTCTAACGCCCGTGCAAAAGAGGTTTTGCGCCCACCCCCACCCCCCATTATGGCCCTCCCGGGTCACGGCCTGGCCTGGAGCAGTCCTCCTTCGCCCCCGATAATCCACAGTGACAGTATCCACCGCCTCTTCCAGGTCCCTGGAGTGCCAGGGAATCCTTCCCCTCTTTTACCTTGCCTCCTAGAAGGGGCGCTGGGGGTGGTGAACGCTTGCTTTCGGGGACCCCAGGCTGCGACATTGACTGAGGCATGGTGCAGAAGGCAGTGAGAAGTCACAGCCTCAGCCTTCCTTACCCCCGCGGCCCAGAAACTGGGAAAAGTGCCTCATTGAAGGGGAGATCAGAGGAAGACCTTAGTCACCTTTATTTCTTACTTTCAACACAGAAATGTAAATTTGCCAGTTCGGTTCTCTGAAGGGAGGTGACAGATCTGTGATCCTGGGAGACAATCGTTCACTGTAGCCCAGCAGGTCTCCGTGCCTCCATGCCTGCACCCACAACCGGAGAGCAGTCACACCCCATCCCACCCCAAACACTTAGACAAAGGCAGGTTCTCTGCCCCAACTCAGAATGAGGTTATTCCTGAGCTACCCCACTGTTAGCCAAAGAAGGAATGTGGATCTGTTTTAAATAACCCTCCTAATGTTGGAGGCAGAGAGACCATCCATGTAGGCTAGCTGCAAACTCCGAGCCCGGCATTTACAAACCACAAGTGGACTTTGCAATACTTGATGGCTTTCAGGGAGAAATGCGCAGGTGCAGGTACACCTAGAACCCCTGAAGGAAGGTGTATGCCTGTGGTTCCAGCTAATTAGGGAGCTGACTCCGACTCCGGAGAGGCAGGAGTTGGAGACCAGCCCTGACTACATAGCAAAATCCTGTCTCTGAGCAGAAACTGAAAAGGTACTGAGATATGGATGTGTATCTTATGTATCGGAGCATTATCTTAGTGTGTGTGAAACCCGAGTTCAATCCTTTGTAAGGTAGAGGGACATTCCATCTGTCTGGCTGTGATCGCCCATCCCCCAGCGTAGTATGCCTTCCCCTCCCGCCAGACAGGGTCTCACTTTGTAGCTTTGACTGTCCTGGAACTCATTCTGTAGACCAGACTTGCCTTGAGCTCACAGAAATCAGCCTGCCTCTGCCTCCCAAGTGCTTGGATTAAAAGTTAACTAATTTAAAGGGCTCTGGAAAAGTGCACTGGAAAAAGTCCAGTTTTAACAGTCAGAAAACTCAGTCTGAACCTGAATATGGTGGACAACACCTTTTCCTTGTATCTAAGTCATATAGTCTTGGACAAGTTTTGGGGCACTTAATAAGGAAGATCATTCTAAAGATTAGAGTCATGTGAGTACCATTAAAAAAATGGTAGGGACCAGCAAGTACCACCAATTTCAGGAGTCATTCTGCCTGAGGCTGGCTCAGGTTCCTTTTGGCTCACATTCAGCTCTGAACCTGCAGCCTCACACCTGGGATGTTTGTGAACTGGCTAGGATTGTCCAGTTCCAGCTTTGTAAAGGGGACAGACAGGGAAAGGAGTACTCCCATCATCCAGAAGATCAGTCAGTGTCACAGCTGTGACTGCTGTGGGAGAAGCTAAGGATGCTGAGGGAGGTAGCTAGGGACACTCACCTGGGAAAGGTGGTGCCCTGGGAATCTGAAGTGGGGAGAAGGATGACCCAACCAGTGCCAGACTGCAAGCTGGGAAATCCCAGGCCCGTGGCCAATGCAGTTAAGTTCAAGGGAACGTCAGGGGGGCAAATGGGGCTGCATTGGTATTTTTCTAAGTGTAAAAGGGTGTTCTGAGTTCTAGAACAAGGTTGCAACACAAGCAACCACTTACAAACTGAGAAGCAGCAGGAGAAAGGGGGTAAGATGGGAGAGATGGGGAGTAGGGAGAGGGAGAGTGCAGTGTTCACCCACAAAACACACACTGTGGACCCAGGCATAAGGCAGGCATGGAAGCATTAACAGAGCAACAGGTAGTGTCTGGGTGAGCCAGCACCTAGTTCCAATGGGTTGCTAAACATTTCTAGGACTCAGGAAGCCTCAAACATCATTGAGGCCCAGCACTGGGCAGAAGGTATACCCTCTGAGAATCCTTTGTCCTAGTGATGCAGGGATATGGACACAGAGTGGCCCTGCTTATGCTACATACTTGCCAAAGGGGAAAACCAGTGTGGGAATAGGGTTATTTTACCTGCAGACCGTTCCCTACCCCAGCCATTCCTTTTTAAGAAGCCAACCTATAACTTTCTGAATACCATGATGTTCTCAGGCTCCCTATACTTTGCAACTTTACATCGAAGGGTCTTGCATTTGTGTATTTATTTGTGACTAAGAGATAACATCAAAAACAAAAAAAATCTTTTAGAATTGTCTCTAATTTCTACCCACATTGTATACACCTGGATCAGTGATTCTCACTTCCAAGAGGAAGTGGAGTTATTTCAACTGAATAGTTGATCTCAAACACCCTCAGACACAGCAGTTATTCCTCCCAAAGTACAGCCTGCACTATGTTTGTTTGCAGAGTCCATAAACATAGATTCCACCAATATGCTCCGGTGTGAAACTTCAAAGTGACACATCGAGCTATTTTAGCATCAATTCTCATGGAATCCGACATGCCTTTAAGCCCTAGGCCCTCCACCCCTTCTCCCTCTTGGGTGTAACTGGAAGGAAATATGTCGCAATCCTGAAGTTTGTTCTTCTGTGCTAACTGTGTCTTTGCAGGAGAGGATGATGGGGAAGAAGGAAAAGCTTTATTAAAGAGTGTCACACAGCAAAAAAGATAAAACCCTGTTGGGAATATATCTCAAAAAGTGGAAAGTGAAAGAGGGAGCGGCCTGTGAGGGATGGTGTGAGAGCAGTTTCTGTGAGGTCCCACTGGCTGGACCTGC